GCAACAATAATGTCATCATCTCAAACACCAAGACATAAGCTCCGCAAAAGGAAACGTGTACAAGCTAACGATCTTGGCGTTAATAATAATCATGATGAAAATGGTAATGCCTTAACTGTTCATCCTAATGTCACAGCGAATGAATCAACACCACCACCAGATATAGCAACAACAACGATGGTAACAATGTCGTCGTCATCTCAAACACAAAGATACAATCTTCGCAAAAGGAAACGTGTGGACTCATCATCGTCATCACAAGCACAAGCACAAACATATGATTTTCGAAAAAGGGAATATGTGAGCTATAATTGTGGTCGTGTAACAAAAAAAAACAGAAAAAATAAATCATCATCACGATCACAACCACCATCACCGTCACCGTCACAATTAAATTGTATTGGATGCCCTATACATTGCATATAATTACATCAGACTAGAATTGTAAATAAAATTTATAAAATAAAGCATTTAACGTAGTAATAATTTTCACAATATCCGATAGATATGTATACGAGTTTCTTTTGCATGTGCATCTCAGGATTTATTTTAATGTGTTAATATGATGAGCGACGGTCCGAAATTTTAACATTTGATCATGTGATTTTTTGGTCTACAGAAACCCCTCTAGTTCGGCGCCAATTAGATTGAAGGATCAGGTGTAACATGAAAATTACGCCTTTTTGTTTTTTTTTACAAAAATCGAAATTTTGTTTATAAAACTGCTTTATATGTTCTAACAAAAAAAATTCCTTGCGAAATTTTGGTATAACCTATGCCCATCCCTTGACCTTAATCCTATCGCGCATTTGATTGTTGATTTTACGTTACACCTGATCTTTCGATCTAATTGGCTAAAAATCACGTGTCGGAAAAAATTTTGTCCCCAGGATCGCCACTAGGGTGTCCAGGATTATGATCCGGCATAATATGGGGTGCGGACAATAGAAACAGCCCATTTTTACATTTAACTTATTTTGAGATAATTGAGTTTAATCATTTGTTTTGATTTTCGGACTGATCCGGGATTAAGCAAATTTCATGATTTTGATTGGTTAAACGTAACAGGTGACTATCAGGTAATCACATGCTGTGCTTGACCTTAAGCAGCTTTGTACAATTTTTCTTTAAATTATCTCAATTTTTTATTATGCAAATCGCTTTTCATTTATAATTGAAAAATGTCAGTTATGTTAAAATTTACATAAATCTAATAAAAACTTATTTTTCAAAAAATTTGCAAAATAAGCCCTTTTAATATGAAAGACCTCATATACTTTATAGATGTTAATATTAATAGTTTAGTTTATTATTATTAACCTTTGCAATATCACGTGAAGGCAGATTTTTATTAGATATTTTAAATAGTACATTCTTGATCAACAAGAGTATATGTAGCCACATATACAACTTTTGGTTGCCTATTTAAGTAGTCCACCAAAGGTTCTATACTATATGCTATATTTGTAACCCAATTAAGTGATTACTCATTTAAACTCTCTGATGTCCCCCATC